AGGCATAAGGAAGAGGATCATGCAAAAGTTATAAAGAAGCAGGGCATGTTTGAAGGTTGGCTATTGGTTCATCGTGGCTGGACCATAAGGTGTATGATGGCTGAAATAAAGAGATGAGGCCAGGGAGAGGGGCTGGAATCTTGACTTAGAACTGGTTACATGGGAAAAGAGACCAGTTCTAAGTGAGGATTTCTTATAATCTCAAAGATTATAAAAAAGGGAAGGGTGATCCAATTTATGTTTTAGAGAGACTGCTCTGGCATCTTGTGGATGGTGGTTGGAAGGGACCAGACCACAGGTAAGGAGACCAATGAGACTGTTGTAGTGACCCAGGTCACACAGAGCCATGGCTGGGATGGTGGCTACGAGAAAAAGCGAAGTGATCAAAGACACCTGAACTAGGATTGACAAGACTCGGAAGCGAACTGAACGTGGGGAGTGAGGACTGCTGGTTTTTTAGCTTGAGTGCATCCGCCAGTACACAGGAGTGGGCTTGTGGGAGAGTAGGGCTGGGGGCAGGAAGAAATGATGGGTTCTGTTTGGGACATGGTGAGTGTGAGGGGACCATAGTGCACATGGGAAGAGCTGCCTGAAGGGCTCAGTAGTGTGCTGGTAAATGTTCAACAGCCGGCTCTCTGGGAAAAAAAAAGACTTTGATACATAGCATTTGCTGACTCCTGCGATATAAATATTCCCATCATGACCAATTTTAAGTTACTAACTCAACATCACTAAATGTGGAGTTAGGAAGAGGTACACAGTCAGGCACCAGCATACCACTGGAGAAGTTCCCACAAAGTACAAGAAGGAAGGGCCTAAAAATCCACCTCCTTCCCAAGACAGGCTCAGTGACTCACTGAGGCCACACACCTGGGGAAGGTAGGACCAGGCCCAGAATCTAGGAGGCAGCTTCTGGCCCTCCATTGATTAGAGGCAGCATCAAGCCCTGCTGATGGCCCCTTGGTGCCCTGGTCAGTTTTGCAGACCCGGGAATACCATGTGGTCCTTGACCCCAGGACAATGACTCATGTCACTCTGGAGTGAGTGACTCAGGGAAGAGGCTGCTGGGTGGCCTGGAACAAAGAGAACTGGGAGAGATTTATTTCTCCTGGGAGCTCAAAGGGGGGCTCAGATACTTTTCTGCTGTTCCCTGTGCCTTTGAACTGCCTCCGATTAAGCAATTGCACATATTTCCAAGAAGAAAAAAAAATTTTTTCAACTGGACTTAGTTTTTAAAAAAAGAATTGCTAAAGTGAACAAGCTGGAGAGGAAAGCTGGGGAGATGTTCTGGCTTACTTCCTGTCCTGGCTGAGGCCGGGGCTGGGGGTGGATAGAGCTCTCGCTGTGACTTGACCACTTTTCAGGGGGTGTGGAACATGGATCCCAGGCATTTCAGGGTTTCTCCAACCCTCCCCTTCTTCCAGAGTGGCATCTAAGGTCCAAGGGGCTTCCTGAGTGCCAGAGAGTCGGGGTGAGGAGGGCGCCCATCATTTGACAAGGTGATCCTCCTGTTTCTGTCAGTCCTTGCTTAGTAGGTAACTTCTGAACCTGCCTTTTCAAGGCACCTTCAGGTCTAGCAACTGTCTGCTCCTAGGTGCACAGAAATGATTGTGTTCTCCGCCCTGTGCTCCCCACCCTACCCGCTGTGAGGATGGCTAAGGCCTCATCTATCAAGTCATATCAAATAGCCATTTCCTCTCTCTGGGGTCTTCTCCTCTGTGTTCTGTCTGGGAAATGGGGCCCAAGACCTCTCTGCTCTCAGATTTGGGGATCTTTTCCCACTTCCCCAGGGAAGCAGGGCACAGGCCCCGTTCTCAGGGACTCACCAGAGTCTACCCTCTCACTGCTTCCTCTCCACTTTTCCTGTCTTTCCTTTGTCCCATAATCTTTACTAGTCTTGGGTTGGGGGGAGATTTACCGTTACTTAGGATGTTTTTGCCCAAATCCTTTTTTCTGTGCACTGAGCCCTTCCTGTTTCCCTAAGGGCTAGTTCTTTGTGATATATAAGGCAGAGATAGACTCCCTTTCCTCTATCTCCTGCTGCTACAACTGCCCCCAGCCCCCCTCCTGGGCAGTGAGCACAGAATGGCCTCCCTGTTTGCCCGAGGGGAAGGGCAGTGGGGGAAAGGAGATGTGAGGGGAAGCAAGGAGTCTGTTAGGATTCCAGACATGCCACCTACTTGAGTAGCCCCTGCACGTCCCCCAGCAGCTGAGCATCGTGCACACTCCTGTGCTCTTCCTCTGAGGGCTGACCCGGCCTCCCCTCTTGCGTATGGCCCTGGCACAGGTCTCAGCAGATGCTGGCTCACCCTCAGGGCTAGAATGGGTTCTGAATCAGGGGGGGAAGGCACCCCCAGCCAAAAGAGCCCGTGAGAGACCCTTCGGACTGGAGAGCATGGCCAGAGTGTGCAGACTCCAGGCCAGAGTGTCGGGAGTGCTCAGGGACTCCTTGCCGAAGCACCGCTGGGCCGCAGCCCCTGTACTCCCAGCCCCTGGACCAGAAGGGTTGTGGTGACGGGGAGAGGTCATTGAGGGGGTCCCTTCCGGTCCCTCATCCTCCCCTCTCTGTTGCCCCCAAGGCCCCTTCCTTCTACACTTCTACACCCCACCCTTGCTCCCCACTCCTCCTTTCAATCCAAATCTGCTTTCAGGATGGAAACTTGGGACTCCCACTGACATGCCGAGGACTGTGCCCCCTTCAGTCATCCATTCTCCCATTTATCCTGTGCAGCCTGAGCACTTGCACCAGGTCTCAAGCTAGGTTTCATCTCTCCCTTGCAGAATGACAGCCTCTGTGCTTTGGGAGTCAGCACAGGGGTGGCAGAAAGGTCAGGGTCTTTGGAACCAGATAGACTCAGGACTGACCACAGCACAGATCTGGGACAGGCCACATCATAGAACTGAGCTTAGACCCAGGACTGACCACTGCACAGAGCTTGGATGACCACAGTGCAGACGTGGGGCTGACCACAGTACTGCATGCTGTTTCTGTAAACCCACCACTGCAGCCACTGGTTGCCCGACAGCAGAGTGAATGGCCCCTGGTGGGTTTAATTCCAATTATGTCTGATGGTCTTTTATCTGATTGTCAGTACAGAGGAGAAGCCCTGGCCAAGCCAGGACTCTGCCTCCTTAAATTGCCAGAAACAAAGCCAAGAACTCTGCCACCCAGGATGAACACCAAACTCTCTGGGCCTTGGTTGCGTTTTGGTGATGCCGTGGCTCAGAGAACTCAGCTGCCCGATTCAGAGAATAGGAAAGGAACTCATTGAGGGTATAGTCTGTGCAACACCCTGCGTGTATTTCCTAATTTAATCCTTACAACAACTTTAAAATGCATGTACATACATTTTATGTATGTATGCCTCCATTTTACAGATGAGGAAACTGAGGCCAAGAGGAGACTAATCCAGCAAGAAAGAGGCAGAGGGAGAATTAGAACCCAGTCTGCCAAGGTCCAGAGCCCTCTCACAGCATCTCAAGGTTAGGAAGCAACATAGGGCTATTGTGAGGGAGACCCCAACTTGGACTCACTTGGGGTACAGGACTCAGCTCCGCAGTTGGCCAGGTCTAGGAACCCACAGAGGCACCTCTTAGCACTTTGAGCCGATCTCTGATGCCCAGGGAGATTTTCCAGGTGTATCCAGTGCTGCCTGGGGCGGATACGGGGAGCTGGGAACATCTTCACTCCCCCAAGCTCAGAGGCACTGCCAAGGGATGCTTTCACAGCATGGACACATCAGCTTATTATTTACTAAAAGCAAACCTTTCAAAACAAGAAGCCAGAAGGCTGACATGTGTAGTGGGGCTGGGGGGCAGGGTTCTGGGACCTTCTCTGGCTGCTCCTCACTCACAGGTGTGACTTTGCTCAAGTCCCTGCCCCTGTCTGGGCTTGTCGGATGGGAGCAGGGGTAGGACTGGCCCTTCTCCAGTGGCCTCCTTGTCATCCTCTGAGTTTGCAGAGGGACTGAGAGGGATGTGTGTGCAGCCACCCCAAACAATTCCCTCCATCGAATTCTTCATCTAGAGATAGACCAGTGGTATTAATAGCAACTTAATCTCTTTCAAATTCTTTGTGCTGCTAAAATGAAAGCAAAAATTCAAAGCTGGAAGAACAAAAAAAAAACCCCTCCCTTCTGAGAATTCTGAGTCACTCCAGAAAGGTCAGTGGAGTCTAGGTTAACTCATTATTTCCCAGAAGGGCCTCTGGCTCTTCCGACGCCCAAAGCTTCACAGAGGGAACGTGAGAGCCACTCAGTTTGCAGGCTGTGCTCCTGGGACACTGTGTTTTCAGAGCGGGGTTTGGTCTCTTCTGGACTGGTCACAAGGCTCTGGGAGAGGCATCCCAGGGGCCACTGTAAGAGGCCCCTGCTTACCAAGAATGCCACCCATGAGCTAGTGGACTTGGCCCTGCAGGGAGCTGGGGAGTCAGACTGACCTGTGGTTGACTTCCAGCACTGCCACTCATGGGTGATGCGACTTAGGGCAAGTCTTTGAGCCTCTGTTTCCTCGTCTATAAAATGAGACTAATCATAATGTTAAGAATAATAGTACTTACACTATCCACCTCAAGGCTTGCTGAGAGCACCAAAGGGGATGTAAAGGCCCTTGAGAAATCATGACTCTTAATGTTGGCCCCTGTGCCTGCTGGCACGTAGGCAGCCCCACAGGAAGCCACCCCCCTCCCATGACTGAGATGGGCAGGATGGAGGTGTTCTGCCAGTTGTGGATGGGCATGCCTGTGCTTTACGGCTGCTCTGTCAGAACAGCCCCCTCCTGCCCTCTCCCCACAGCCCACAGGGTCCTACAGCAGCTATTCCCAGGGGCAGAGTCTCTGCTACTCACTAACAAGTGTGGGCCTTTCTGGGGTGAAAGGTAGGATGGACAACTAATGAACAGTTGTATAAATAGAAGATTAAGAAGTTGAGTGGTTGAACACATGGACCCACAGACTGATGGATGGATGAGTGGGTGCGCTCGCCACCCTACATAGTGGGGATCATGCAGCCCCTGACAGTGGGCCCGCTCTTTTGTCCCTGTAAAACCCCTAGCCTCACAACCTGCTGCTTCCTCTCCCCTGCCCCACCACTATCTTATCCCCTCTGGGAATGCACACTGCAACTCTCCCCTGCAGGACGGCGAGAACCCATGTGGCGTTCAGCTGCTACACACTAGCAGAACTCCTGGTGGAGGGGACAGAGTAGAAGAGGGGAGAGATGAGGGGCCTTGAATCAAACTAGCCTGGGTTATAACCCTTGGCCTGCCACTTATTAGCTGTGTGGTCTTGAGCAAGTTGTTGCAGCTCTCTGATCCTTAGTTCCTTAATATATAAAATGGAAATAATAAACAAGATAGCATCTGAAATGCACCTCGCATAGTGTCCGATATTCAGTAGGCGACCTAGAAATAGCTGATGAATAAAAAGGAATAAAAGTATATTAGTTTGCTTTCTTTACTGAATAACCAGGGGCAGATAAAAATATTTAAATGTGGTTTAGAGGCTTTTGGCCTTTTCGGTGACACAAATCATTGGATAGTTATTCCAGCAGAGGCTTTGGTAATTTGTGCCAGGAACAAAGGTAGCTGGACCAGTCAAGTTGCTTCACTTCTCTGCACCTCAGTTTTCCTTCCTGTAAAATAGGCCGAGCTGTATAGTTAAGCACTGGCTGGGGGCAGAAAGAGTAGAGTCCAAAGGGCTGATGGCGCTTGGCAATGACCCACCTAACCCTTTGCTGACCAAGCTGGAGAGGCAGCAAGAAGGGCCCTGAAAATGGGTTAAAGAAGGAGCGGCTCAGAGACCAAACATCACTAAATATTTTCTCCTTTTTTGGGTCGTTGCTCTAGATCACCACTTCCTGGAGACTATATTCTAAACTTTGCTGTGATGGATGCGAGGTCCACGTGCCCACGAGCTCCAGAGGAACCCAGATGTCACCCTGGGGGAGGGACTCTGCTTTTACCTTGCTATTTTAAGCAGCGAGTTTACAATAATGGATGGGAGAGAAAGCGATGGGGCAGGAACAGCGTGGGAATGGCCTGGGAGGATGGGGCTGCTGGGGCTCCCCCTGAGGAGCTTGGGGTTCCATCCTATCAAGGGTGGGACCTCAGCCAGCCTCCACTCTGCTTTATCCTGCAGTAGCTGACACCTCTTAGTGCTTGTCTGACTTAATTCGTTTCTGTTTTACTTTGCTTTCTGACCCAGGGACTGACTTAAGGTCTTTCTTGAAGAGCAGGAGGTGAAAGAAAGGAAGTGGAGGTATTTCTGATGCGACTTTGGAATTCCATGGTCCTAGAATCCTATGGGATGGGGCCCTCAAATCTGTGGTTTTTTGTGATTAGGAGGAGATCAGGATTTCAGGGACTCCCAGGGTTAGAAAAGGCCCCTGAAGTGGGTTAGGAATCCTATGACCCTTGCCCCAGCCTTTGATGAAACTCTCCCAGGAATGGGGAGCTCATTACCTTAAAGAGTAGCCCATTTCATTTTCCGATGGTTCCAACCACTAGAAAGTTTTCCCTTGCCTTGATCTCACCTTTCAGTCATTGGCCATGCATCTACCCTTCGGGGACAATAGAATTACATGAATGGCTTTCAAATATCTGCAAAGAAGTTTTATTTCTTCCTGTACCTTCTCTTTTCCAGGCTAAAGGTCTTTAGTTCTTTAAACACAAATTCTTGTCCTGCTTCCCCTTTTTTTTGGCAGTACGCTGGCCTCTCACTGTTGTGGCCTCTCCCATTGAGGAGCACAGGCTCTGGACACGCAGGCTCAGTGGCTATGGCTCACGGGCCCAGCCGCTCCACGGCATGTGGGATCTTCCCGGACTGGGACACGAACCCGTGTCCCCTGCATCGACAGGCGGACTCTCAACCACTGCGCCACCAGGGAAGCCCCTGCTTCCCCTCTTTTGAACATGCCCCAGATCATCTGAATCCCTCTTAGCATGCAGAGCACAATACACTTCATGTAGATTAAGACATAAAAGAAAAGTAGAACTGTCAGCTTCCCTGTTTTGGAAACCATACTCCTATTAAGACAGCCTGGATGGACTTCCCTGGTGGTGCAGAGGTTAAGAATCCACCTGCCAATGCAGGGGACATGGGTTTGAGCCCTGGTCCGGGAAGATCCCACATGCCGTGGAGCAACTAAGCCCGTGTGCCACAACTACTGAGCCTGCACTCTAGAGCCCGCGAGCCACAACTATTGAGCCCTCGTGCCACAACTACTGAAGCTCGTGCATCTAAAGCCCGTGCTCCACAAGAGGAGAAGCCACCACAATGAGAAGCACACACACCACAACGAAGAGTAGTCCCCGCTCGCCGCAACTGGAGAAAGCCCACGTGCAGCAACGAAAACCCAATGCAGCCAAAAGTAAATAAATAAAATAAATAAATTAAAATAAAATAAAACAGTATTAAAAAAAAAAAGACAGCCTGGAGACCTGCACACACATCACACATCATTTTAAGAGTTTTCTTTGGATGTGTAGTGCACGTCTCTGGTAGAATTGGGGTTTGTGGGTATTCTTTTGCTACCCTCAAACTCTGTTACCATATGCTTTGCCCAGCACCACTGTTGTCACTGCGGCTGACATCCAAGTCAAGGTGATAGTAATCAATCCCAGAGCTCACCTTTGGGCAAACCCGATGCTGAGTTTACTTATACAGAAGCAACCTGAGCTGGGAGGCACAGCATGCCCTGGCCCCAGAGCTCTCATTCCCAAGAGCCAGGTTAAATCTGTCCTCTTGGCCATGACCCACCTTCCTGTCCCACCTCCTCCACTAGGCCTCCAGCTATTCTGTTCAGAGAAATTCAGTCAGCATTTCAGTGTTCATGATTCAGTCTAAACACCATTCTAGCGTGGACTCTTCCCTAAAACTGTATTCCACTCGTCCCAATTTCTGGAGTTAGGGACCCTTTTCTGGGACCCTGCAGCTTCTCACTTCCAAAGTGTTTACCTCTTAATCTTGTTTTCCAACTTCCTCCCACCATTGGACTCCGTGTTCTTTGAGGGCCAAGACCACATTTTCATCATCCTTATGGTAGAGTAGGTGTGAGTGTTGGTGGTGAAGGAATGAATGACTCTGCTCACAGATCATCTTCTTGAAATGAGATTTCTTGAGCCGACCAGCAGGGGTCACCCCAACTGTTTCAGAGCTGGATAGGGCTCCCTGTCCACCGCAGAGAATGACAAAAGCCAAGATGGTGGTCACAATGACTAAAACTCCGGGGCTAAAGTTCTCCAGTTCTTTAAATACAAGTCAACAAGCATTTCTGGATGAACCTTCTGGGTATCCGTGATCAATAAGACCCCTTGCCTGCCTCAGGGAGCTCAGTCAAGAGGTGTGTGTTAGCTGGGGGCATCTGTCAGAGCTGTGACTGATGCCGCATCTGAGCTGCACCACAGCACTCTGGCTCCAGGGCCTTCGCAAGCCATTTCTGTGGTACAGGAAGAACACTTGGTGTCCTGGGCGATGGCAGGGCTTCCTGGCTTCTCTTCCTGCAGCCTCCAGCAGACAGCATCTTGCATAGGACCCAGGGTATAGTGGATACTCAGTAAATGGCAATGTCCTTCGTTTGCCCTGTGTGTGTCCCAGCAGCCCCCTGACTGCAGCCGAGGGCAGGGTCTGAGGACGACATCTGCCTCTGGTGCCTTTCATCTGCTGTCTCCCAGAGCAGCTCCTTCAAGGAACCTCTGAAGTTGCAGAACCAGGCCGGTTGTTGGTTTTTCGGGTCCCTGGAGGTGTCATCCATCCCCCTAGGGCAGGGGACCTAAAGGAGTTTAGGGGTGGGAAGAGCCCAGGCAGAGCCCCCTGGACCTTCTGGGCTGCAGAACAGCATGCAGGTAGCCTCTGTGAGCACCTACTCCATGCTGGGTGCTCTGTCTCTTTTCGTCCTAGGGACAGTCCCACCTGGGAGGCATTCTAATCTCTGTTCCCCTGACGAGGAAACCAAGGCTCAGAGGTGAAGCAAAGGTTCAAGGCTACACAGCCAGTGAGTGGCAGAGTGAAGACTCAGATCTAGGTATCTGGTTCCAAAGCCTGTGCTCTATCTACTATTTCTGCTCTCCTGCCTCTCCAGATGGAGACCTGACATGACTGGCCCCCTTTTCTGAGAGGAAGCAGAGGAGCCAGACCCATTGGCTCAGGTTTATTGGAGAGATTTTGGTCCTACACCTCTTGACTGGCAAGAAACATGAAAGTGTGAAAGCGCAGTTAGTACTTACAAGTAACAGTCGTTAGTAGTTACAAGTTAGTACAAGTAGTTACAAGTTAGTAGTTACAAGTAAACCCAGTTCAAACTGACTTAAACACTAAGAGACTTAATTGTTTCTGTAACTGGCTAGTTCAAAAAGAGTTTCAGCTGCAGGTGAGCTTTGATCAGGGCTCCAGCTCCGTTTCTCTGCAGATCTCCTGGGTCTGCTCTCCTCTGGGTGTGTCAGATTTCTCCTCAGTCTGACCTTCCTCGTGGAAGGAAAATGGCGTCTGCAGCACCAGGTCTCACATCTGCACACTCCACCACCTGGAGCAAGAGAAAGCATCTGGGTCCCAGAGCATTGCCACATGCTCATTGGCTTAGGCTGGACCCATTGTCTATCCCTGAGCCAGTCACTGAGGCAAGATGGATGAGATTATGCTGACTGGAGTCAACCCCGGCCAGGCCTTACCCCATGGGGAGGGTTAAGTGTAGCTTTGGGGAAGCAACCCAAGGTTGCTGAGGGCAAGCACTGCACAAGGCACAGGAGACTCACCCTGGCTGAGCCTCCAGACTGATGACTTTAGCAGGCCTGACAGGTCCAATGAGAGCTGTCCTCAAGTGAGAGAGCCCTGTACTGAGGGTTAGAAGAGCTGCTGAAGGGCATGAGGTGAGCCATGGGGCAGGAAGCTGGGAGACACCATCCTTTCCTCCTCCCCCACCTGGCCAAGCAAGGCTGTGTGGTATAGTGGCCTCCAAATCAGGAAGATCTGGATTCAAATGCTTCGTTCTTTGTATGATTTGGGCAAGTGACTTCTACTCTCTGAAGCAGTTCTCTCATCTATAAAATGTGAATAGTAATGCCTGCATCAGAGGTCATCGTGAGGATTAATTTAGGTGGTGTCGGTAATGCTCCTAGGATGGTGCCTGGCACCCAGGAGCTGCTCAACACATGTTTGACAAATCCAAGTCTGGCTCCCAATGGAGTGTCCTCCATCGGCTATGGCTTTGAGGAGTTCGAAGCACTCTTCTCCCTTCTGGGATCGCTGTGTTTACTGTATGGCCCAAATTAGATGCAAAATCTCTGGGTCACCTCCGACTTTGTAAACAGAGCCAGGGAGCAGGAGGAAATGCAATTCCAAACGCCCTCTGCTCGCCTACTTTAGCCCTTGTTGATGCAAACTCAAGCAGGCTCTCTCCGCGGCTCGTGGCACCTGCAAACGGGACCCAGCATGGGTCAGGGATGGGAGTGGATTTGACTTGTCCTTTTGGCGTCTCCTCAGCCTGTGGAGCCCAGGCCTCCTGGAGCATCTTTGGGGCTGACGCAGCGGAGGTTCCGGGCACGCGCAGCCACTCCCACCAGGAGGCTGCCATGCCCCACATTCCCGAGGACGAGGAGCCCCCTGGAGAGCCGCAGGCAGCCCAGAGCCCGGCCGGCCAAGTAAGTGCCTCCCCCCTGCCTGCAGCCCGCCTGGCCCGGGCCACGCAAAGCGCCCTGGGCTGAGGCCACATGGTTTGCTGACAGCCTGTGCAGGCTGCAGTGGGCCTGGGGAAGGTGTGCGGCTTCCACGCCGCGGAATACATACCCAAAGGTCGTTTGAATTGACCAAGGTCCCCACACATCCTGAGGGTGCTACCTTGTAGGCTGTGTCTGACTGAGGCCCCCTGGGAAGTCACACCACCCTCCTAGGATGGAGAGAGGCTCGGAGGAGGACCGTCAGCATGGAAGGCCTCACGTATCAGGGTCGTGGGCACAAGCACCAGGTCACTTAAAGTGAATCCACTTGAAATGAAGGTCAAAATTCCTCAGTAAATAGTGAAAAAGGGTTTCAGTGAGATTTTATTATAAAAAAGGAAATGATGAAAGTGAATTAAAGGGGCTCATTGAGGTTGTATTGTACAAATGAAATGGTGAAGACAAGTTATTTTTAGCTGTACATATTACAAAATATAGCTTATACGCTAATTTTTAGAATGAACAAAGAATCTTAATCAAGTGCGTTGACTTTGGTATTGGTATATTTTTTATGCCAACAAAATTAGCTTTTCATGTGTTATCACAACCTTCACATTTTACTTTATAGCACCTTCATTAAGAGATTCTGTTTGTTTAATATTTAAAGGGTTCATTCATTTTCCTAAGGACCTCTTTCAATCCTTCAATATTCAAATCATTCCCTCATGAAGAACCCATCTTGCCATCATCCTCACAATTCTGACTCCATTCGTTAACTGGTCCGGCTACATCTGCTGCTCATTGGTCTAAGACCTTGTACATGAAGTTCTCAGACATGGTTTTGTGAACTTCGTGAACTTTGCAGTTGGTTTGCACTGAACTTATATCATCCTGTTGTATCTGACACTTCTCCAAACTGCCCTGAGCCAGAGGGATAGACACTTGTTAAGTGAGGGAAGCTTGTACGAGTGAGCATTAATTTGACAAGTGGGCAGATTCTTAGTGAATAGTTTCATGTTATGATGACATTTGTTTTCTTTACACATCATAACTGTGGGAACTAAGATAATAAACACTTAGAAAAGAATGGCCTCTTGTATCCCCACATCCCGAGCTCATGGGATTGAGATGTTGCAGAACTTGGCAGCCTTGGAGAGCCCTTGAATTTCAAAACGACAGCGAGCCAAGCCCCCATGCCTTTGGCTGCAGGCACCAGCTCAGGTCTTTATTGAGCCCCGCTCCCAGAAATGTCCTGGGCTATGGTAGGTGCTGCTTGCCAGTTGCTTTCAGTGGCTCTGAGCTGTTCCTCTGCTCCTCCACGGGTGACATCTAGTCTTCCCCGAACTGTGTGCTCTGCTATTGCCCCCTTCCTGCAGCTGCTGTTCCTTACCACGTGTGGACCGTTCCCCCAAAGAGTTGCCAACAGTGGACTGTAAGGTCTAACCAACAAAAAAATTTTCTAGTCTACTGAAAGCTTGGAGTTTAAAGAAGGGAAGGACAACACAGAGTAAAATAGATCCGGATTCAAACGTCACGGCTCCCTATCCTCAGGTCACAACTTTCCCAGGTTCTGTCCCCTTAGCATCCCCACCTCCCAGCCCTGGACCACTTCTTGCTGTGGTCATCCCTGACCCCTTCCACTTTACTCACAACGATGGTGCCCTTAAGCCGGACTCTGATGCAAAATCCAGCTCCCGAATCCTGGGCAACTCCCCCAAACAGCTGCCATGGCCTGCTCCCCAAGAATATAAGTGTTCCTAAAAAATAAATAAATGAAAGATGGGCAAAGATGGAACTCCACCCTCAGTGAAGAGATCCTTTTACAATGAGTTCAGCTCCTTTTGGTTCCAAACCTCTCTAATTAAAAGACACTTCAGGGGCTTCCCTGGTGGCGCAGTGGTTGGGGGTCCGCCTGCCGATGCAGGGGATATGGGTTCGTGCCCCGGTCCGGGAAGATCCCACATGCCGCAGAGCGGCTGGGCCCGTGAGCCATGGCTGCTGAGCCTGCACGTCCAGAGCCTGTGCTCCACAACGGGAGAGGCCACAACAGTGAGAGGCCCACGTACTGCAAAAAAAAAAAAAAAAAAAAAAAAGACACTTCAAACCTTCTCCTCAAGAAACACAAAACGAGACAGCACAAAAGCCCGCTGGCCTTTCTGACCATCATGGCTTCAAACCACATGTAGGTGTAGCTTCACTGGGTCAGAGGTGAGGGTGAGTTTCTAGGGCTGGCCAAGCAGGGGGAGGGCCCCATGAGCTCACCACACAGCTGAGGGTTAGAGACCCCTAGCTGAGCAGCAGAAACTCCAGATTCTGGGCCCCCACAAGCTCACTTTCCCTGTGACCTTGAACCAGGACCAGACTTCTATACTATAGACCATGGGCCCTCATGGTCTCTGAAGGTCCTTCAAATGCTCAAGGGAGACAAGATAATAAAGAGACTGTTTGCAGGTCCCAATAGCCTCTGCATTGCCAACATCCAGCGGGAGAAGGGCCCACGAGGAACTCAGGTGAGCTGGAGCCAGGATGCCCAGATCCTATGAGGGAGGGCCATTAGCACAGGATTTAAGAATGTGGACTCTGGAGTGAGACCACGCTGGGCTCAAGTCACAGCTCCTCCACATCCTGGTCAAGAGACGTGATGCTGAGTCTGTTAACTTTACTGTGCCTCTGGTTCCTCATCTCTTCCCCGGGCAGGTGTTAGTAGCTGCCTCCTGGACTCTTGTCTGTTCAGCCCAACGCTTGAGGACCTTCTTTGGCCTGAGGGACCATGGAGCTGGGGCAGGTTAGACCCCAGACTGAAGGCCACATCAGATTCAGTATTATTTTATTCTCTGCCCCGACTGACAGGCACTGGGCCCCCCTGAGTTCTCCAGAAGCCCACGGGCATCATCAGTGAAGGGGATCTCCCTCTACTGCACCTATCAGATGACCCACATTGGGCTTCTCGGGCAGCCACAGCCTCAGGGGAGGGTCAGGCCTTGTGAGTTGGGCCAGAGCCTCCGAGGGCTGAAGCCTGAGTCCCTGGGAGCAGCAGAGGCCATAGAAGCAGGGTTGGCCAGGAGGGCTGGCTGGAACTCCCAGTACTGTGTGAATTCCCACTCTGTGAAGCAGGCAAAGAACAGAGCATCCTTCTGACTTTACGGCTCCCCGGGGTCCAGCCCTACTTCTGGTTCCTCAAGCCCCAGCCCTCATTTCCCATCACTGACACGAGCACTAGCTGAGGCCTTCTCACACAAAAACACAAAAGCTGTAGGCCTAGATCCTGTTTTTCTTTCTGCACGTACACTTGCATACACACACACGCACACACACATGGATGCTAAACACACTTTCACACACACACAGACTCACACAGACAGACGCAGACAGAAAGGCAGACCCTTTAGGACCCTAATCAGAAGCTGTAATCAAAACCCACAAAGAAATAAAGCCTCCTGACAATGCACTGTGTGAGACTGCATCCTGAGCAGTGTTTCCTGGGTTGGCCCTTGAACAGGGAGGAGCTTAACGGGATGAGCTTGTAGCCAAGAGGTTCTTGCAGGAATAGAAGCTGTCAGGACAGAAGCCTAGGACCTTAGGGGACCCCAGAATGACAGGCCATCAGAGCTAGAAGGGGTCACAGGAAGTCCCTTCCTCCAAAGGCAGGCAAAATTCTGCATAGTGTAAGTCACCTGGGAGCTTGTTAACCCCAGATTCCTCTGCCCACCTAGACCGGCTGAACCAGAGTCCCCTGGGGTGGGTCTATACTGTGGTTGGCAGCTCTGTTTCCTGGTCCAGCTGGAGCCTGACTCTCCCTCAGTTCTGTCCTCACAATGGCCTGTCGTGGGGTGAAGACCCACAGATGCAGGACGGCAGTTTTTGCATCTTCCCAGAGCCTCTCTGCCTCTGGTTCCTCCAGACTTTGCTGCCATGACAGCCTTCAGAGCGTCCTCCCACCCCTCCCCTGCACACATACCAGCCTGCCTCTGCCTCACCGTGGGGCACCAAACTTGGCCCCAGGCCCCAGGGACAGTGTGACCAGGACACCAACTGTTTCCAGGCCTGTGGCCAGCAGCCATATCAGAAACTCCACTCACTGGGAGCACATGGCCTCCTCAGAGGGGCCTTACAAACCTGAAGGTGTGGGGAAGTTCTTATTAGCTATAAGAGCCCAATTTTCACTGGCTCTCACTTCCACCTGGAAAACCCTCCATCCTCCTCCAAGGGTTTCAGGAAGCCCCCAGGGACAGGTCAGTGCTAGCTCATAAGCTGACCTCACATCCTTCACATCATCTGCTCCAGCATCCCTCTGACCACCACTCCCTGACCATCCCCTCACCCTGTTCTCCATTATCCGCAAAACCACTAATAATAGCTAACCTCGTGCCAACAGGTACTACACTATTAACTCATTTAACTTCCAAGCCACCTTATGAGGTAGGTATCATCAGCCCCATTTCATAGCTAAGGAGACTGACGCACAGAGAAGTTAAGTACCTTCCTCCAATGTCATACAGCTCGTAAGTGACAGGCCCAGGATTTGAACCCGAGCAGCCTGGCCCCAGAGCCCACACTCTTAGTCTCTGCCCTGCTCTGGGGCCTCTGTGAGAGGTGCCTGGACCAAGAGAATACTGTCCTCTGCTCCCAAAACCACTTGTCTGAGAGGGCCAACCTGGGCCCTGCAGAACTCACCACCACATAAACCCCGAAGCACCACAGCTTGTGGCCCTGGGTCTCACCAAATGCCTTCTGCCTACCATCCTCTCAGGTGTGTGAGCCTGTGCAGCCAGGGGACGAAGCTCCATGTCACACGTCTTGCCCAAAACCCAAGCTGCCCTGGCCCCATCATGTGCAACCCCCTTCCTCATTCTCCTTCAGTCGGATGATGAAACAGCCCAGTTGGATGGGTACTGACCCCTAGAAACCCAGACCACTGTGCTGTTCCTGCTTCAGGCCACAAACACCTGTTACTCTCACCCCAGGCCTCCCTGAGCACCTACTTG